TTTAAAGCTGCTCTTTTCAGGAATAATGAGTGATGGACACAATCTAGATGTGAGCTGTCAAATTTTAGGAAGAAGAAAAACCTCTAATGTTTTATTCCTCTCCAAGCTGTGCCTTCATCTTTGTGCCAGCTCTGGTAGACATCAGTGTAGTCCTTCCTCCTTCTAAAGGTTAGGGGGTTTTATTTACAAATGCCAGGGGCTGCCTGAACTCCTGGCTCCATGAAAATAAATGCCAGACTCCAGCAGGATTCAGCCAGGGCCAGGGTGTCACCTTCTGCCTCCTGAAGGTACAGCCATTCTGGGCTGCACCTGGGGATTATTTTCTATAAATGGAAATAGATGAATGCCAGGACAAACATTTCTCCCCCAGACAAGCCTTATCCATGTGGAATCTCCAGCCAGATGTGCTCTCACCCAAGCTGCTGGTACAATGTGAGCTGGCTGCACTGCACACTCAGGCTGCCAGCCAGGCAAGACCTGAGCCTTTCCACTGACTCAGATGAAGAGAAGCCACAGGCAAGGTTTGAAACAAAGGGAAGATGAGCCTGTCCTTTTGAATCTCTTGCTTTACAGCTTCAGCCTGGATGTCCCAGAGCTGAGTGCTGGCTCCATGGCTGGCACTGCCAATGCTGCAGGACTCACCCTGCCACCTCTGCTTTGGGTGAGCCTGGTGGGGAAGATGAAACAGGGAAGCCTTATAAATATGATTGTCTGGCAAAAGATTTTGAGAATATGGAAACTATAAGTGAGATTGAAATGAAAGCAAGCTTTGAGATCCCTCAGTTACTGAACAACTGGAAAACAATGGTGTGGCCAGCTGAAGGTGATCCCCTTTTGATGGAACAACACCCTCTGCTTGCAGACAGGCCCAAGGGTCAGAGCAGACCCTACAGCTTGGCAGAAGGGGCCCAAGGAGGAGTTTAAAGGGTTTAAAATGTAACACAGTATGGTAATGTAATGATTCTTACAGGCTGTATGGAAGTGCTGTAGGATTTGTATCTTGTACTAGATTGGTTAGTGAGAATTAGAATATTGAACACAGAAGAAGATTTATTGTATTGTAATGGGAACCTCACTCTCTTACCCTTTTACTCTCTCACCCTCCCATCCTCTCTGCCCCTCTCTTCTCTCAGCCTGCTCTGAGCTGCGGCTGCAGCTCCCAGCAGGGCCCTGCCCCAGGCCCTTTGCAATGAACCCCAAGTTTCTGACCTGGCTGCAGAGATCTCTCACCTCTGTCCTAACCCCCCACACTCTTACATGAGCCCATGTGGAGGAGCTGTCCTGGGTGTTTTATCCCTCCCTAATGCCCAGTTCAGCTGCACAACAATCAGATCTTTCAAGCTTTGGAGGAGGAAAGCACAGCCCTGGGCCGTGAACTGAAGCTGGGAGCTCACAGCAATGTGGGGAACTAAATCTGGGAGCTGAGCAAATTCTCCAGGGAGCTCAGGCAGCATTTCCATCCCAAAACATGGCCCAGCTTGAGTGCTGCTCACACAGCATGAAATGAGAGAGAACACATGGAGACAACCCCAAATCAAACCATAACTGCCCCAGCACAGGCACTGACCCACAGCAAGGCCCAGTGGCTGCAGCTGGGGGTGTGTGAAAGGCAGTGCCCACACAGCCACTGCAGGGCTGGGTGAAAAGCTGATAAAAAGCTGTGGTGATGAGCAGCAGCTCCCTGAGCAAGCCTCCCTCAGCACTGAAATGAAAAGCTGTTACAGCAAAAGACAGTGGAAGATGCTGAAGGCAACTCAGCAGGGCCAGGGCCATGGTGCTTGTCAATGAAATAATGTCACAGCACTCAGAGCCCAGGGAGCTCAGTGTTCTCACTGAGCTCATCTCAAACAGACTCACAGAGCTGAAAGAGCCTCTGCAAGAGCCTCCCTCTGCCCCTTCAGAGGCTGCACACACAGCCTGGGAATCAGCTCTGAATCTGGGCCTCAAGTGCACAGAGCAACAAGTGCTGCAGCTGGGGCTGCTTTCCACAGGGATTTCAAATTCCAGCAGCAATGGCCAGCTCTTCGTGTATCCAACACAGTTATTCCGAAATGTGAAATAAAATATGCAACTTTCAAAGCTTCTGTGTGTGAGAGCTCCTATGGCAACACAGCTAACATCAACTCCAGCAGGGAAAGCCCAGAAATCTGAAATTCCACATGAAAGAACTGCTCTACTTTCTGCCAGCCCCCTGCCACACATCAGCCTTGCTGTTAGGTCAGTCTTGTGCTGCTGGACATTTTCAGCAGGCCTGGGTTACAATACTGGGGCAAATTCAGCTCCCTGGACCCAGTTCTGGGATTCTTATCTATAATTAGCCAGAAAAAAAATATAAAAATAAAAAATGGAGCTTTGCTTAAGCAAAAAGTAAGGAGGAAAACTTTGTATAGACCTGCTCTTAATCACTGCTATTTGAAAAACCCACACAAACTTTGTGTCAGAGCAGGGAAGCTACTAAAGGAGCACCTGATCATCAGGAGGTGCAACAAAATCAATTTTCTGGGACTCAAAGTAAAAAATCTCCTTCACCTTGACTTAGATCCCTGAGTCTATGGACATTTTGTCCCTGCCTATGTCTGTGGACAGAGAAGGAGGGATGGAGGCTCCCCTTCTTCCTTAAAAGCTCCCTGGAAATGCTGCTGTGCCCTGACTCTGTCCTGGCAGGCACCTGCACAGGCTGGGAGTTCAAGGAGATGCTCTGGAAAATGACCATCAAAAGCTGAACCTTTTGGGCAAATGTCCCAATGTCCAGAAGAACTGAGGGAGAGGAAAAGAACTCCAGCAAGGAGCAAACAGGCTGGGGAACAGCAGCACCAGCACTTGCTCTGTGTGTGCTGTCTGTATCCCTAAGGTGAGAGTTTGCATCCTGAGGCTTAGCAGCAGAACTACTTTTATTTTATGCTAAAATGAAGAAATCCTCTTTCTGCTGACAGGGGAGCTTGCAGTTAGCAGCTTCCACAGGGCTGGTGTCACTCCCAGCCCTAGCTGGGCTTTAATGCCTGCATTGTGAGCTGCTGCTCCTATCAGCAGTGAATTGCTGCAGGTTAATGGGCTCATTGCACAGCACTCATAAAAATGCCTCCAAAAACCAGCACAGGCAAAGCAATCTGTTTGAGGTCCAGAACAGGCAGAAAATCCAGCAGACAAATTGACTGAAAACAAGACATTGGCTCATGCACTAACAAACAAAAAGCATAAAGGTTATTACAATTACTGCTGGCAATTGCTCCCCAGATCACACACAGGAGCTGCTCAGTACACAACAGCTCCCCTCTGTCTTCATTTCTGCCCATTTTTTTTTCCACCATCCTGCCAAGATTTCTCTCTCAGACTCTGATCTACCTGGAGCAAAAGCAGGGATTCACTGCATGCTCCTCCTCCACGTGGGCACAGCTTCTTTGGCTGCTTAGTTTTGTACACACTGCCTCAAAACAAATAGAAATGTCCAAAAAGCAAAGCATGGATCACTGGCCTTGTACCAAACCTTCAGACCAAAGAAGTTAAAAGAAGATGATACTGAGTTCTCTATGCAGCACTTTTTGGTTGTATTTTAAAGACACTTGGGAACATTCTCAGTTGGTAGCACTTTGCAAAGCTCCAGGGCAGACATCAGGGTGAGCTGCTGCCTGCTGAGAGAGTGGCTCATTGAGCCCAGCTTTGGAAATCAGCCCTGCTGCCTAACCAGCTATGAAAATGTGGCTGTTCTACCCTGGCAGTGCCCAAGGCCAGGCTGGGCAGGGCTGGGAGCAGCCTGGGACAGTGGGAGGTGTCCCTGCCATGGCAGGGGTGGCACTGGCTGGGCTTTAAGGTCCCTCCCAACCCAAACCATGCTGTGATTCCATAACTCTGTGAAGAAGCCACAACACACAGTGGTCTCAGCCTCACTCAGGCCTGGGGGGCACAGAGCATTTGATGGGAAGAGAATGTGGTTTTTAAACTGACATCATGTTTTCCATGGCATCAAGGCAAAGATCCACCCCCAGAAAGTGCCTGCTATCTTGCTGTTCAATTCCTAATGATTTATAATTCCTCTAATAAGGGATTTGCATAAAAGCCCTGGCTGTTTTAAATGCTGCCTTATTTTATGCCTTAAAAGCATGGAGCAGATTTATCTTTTACGAGTAGTCAGACTCTTTATGGCTCTTGCTTCTGCTTGAAAGCCACAGTGACTGCAAATCAACAACACTAAGCCTCCTTTTCCTGCACACAAGTGGGATAAACCTTTAGGCAAATTGCTAAGTGCACTGCTAAACCCCTAAGCTTTCATGGCATTGATTCTCACAGAGTCATGGTAATCCCCAAATCTGGTTGAAATGGCAGAAAAGTTCTCATGCTACATCATTTTCAAAATTAAAACTTCATTGTGAACAAGAATTTGCAGGCTTTGCCATTCCCTGGAATTGTGTCTCAAGGGTTTTGTTCATTTACAAATATTGGGAAAAGCGCACAATTGTCCAAAGGCTGGTGCTGCTGTGGGAAAGAAATAAACAAAACAAAAGATATAGAAATCAGGTCATATTCAGTGCTGCTTTGAAAACCCACTCTAAATATTTACACCAAGATAGGAAAGGCTGGTAAAGGGCTAAAAACAACATTGGGTGCCCTCAAGGAATAAATTCCCCCAATTAGTATAAGGAATTCTTGTAATATTTCATTTGGTGGAATATTTGTTATGGAGCACTTGCTAATCTGACAGAAGTGAAAGGTTAATTATTATTCAGCTTCTGGACAGCAGTGAGTGCTCCTGCAGACATTTCCAGGCAGGCAAGAGATTGGAAGCACTTGGTTTGGAGAGGTGCTGTGTCCTTGGAGCTCACACACTTCCCTGGAAATCCACAGATATTAAAATCACAGAATATTCTAATATTAGAAGCATTTGTTTTCAAACTCTGTTTAAATCCTTTGCTAAAGAAAATGAGAATATCTGTTAACACTGGAAAAACAACTTATACTGGACCTGATCAAAAAAATACCAGAAGGCCAAGCACTTGTGTACAGTACCTGAGGGTCAGGATTAACAGCAGTGATGTTACTGAGCAGGACAGAGGGAACTGCAGGAACAAGTGGGCACAGCTGCTTTTGGAAGTGACTGGCCAGTTCATCTCTCCACCAGATAAGGTCTGGAAGCCATGTAGAAGTCAGAAATGCAGAAATCTTCTGGTAAAAGCTGGGTGATCCCTGGAGATGTTCTGCAGCCTGCAAAAAGCCAGTGGTTAGAAAGCTTTGGTGATGGTTTCAGAAACTCTGTCTGCACCTTGCACGTGCAGCAGCTCCTCCTCTGCCCAGAGCCACCCCAGACCCCAGTTCCACCCTCAGATGCTCCAAACCAAGTCCTGCTGTGACATCCTGTACCCTTCATCCCATCTCTTCCCATCCATCAGCTCACAAACCCTGCTCCAAAGCAGATCCCACCACCCTCAGAGGGGGAGAAAATCCCATAACCAGGGCCGTGAGCCAGCCCAACACAATGAAACATTAACTTCCAAAGACTTTCTCAGGGATATAAATGAAAACAGGTGTTAGTGCCCCATCCCTGGAAGTTTTCAATGCCAGGGTGCAGAGTGCACTGAGCAATCTGGTCCAGTGCAAGCTGCCCCTGCCCAGAGGGTTGGAATTAGATGAGCTTTAAGGCCCCTTCCAACCCAAACCATTCTGGTTTGTTTCAAGATTGAGGCTAATATTAATTCTGATACATTAATATTGAATACTGCACTGCTAAACTACAGTTTCCCATCATTTAACCTCCCCTCTGAGCCCCATTGTTCTTCAGGTTGATTCTTAATTAGCAAGACTTTCAGAGAATAAAACCAGTGACCTCAAGGAGACCTAATTAGAAATTAACAGACTCTGCAACTGTGCAGAACATCTCTCCATCAGTAACTCAGAGGGAAGTGAAGGAACTGCTGCAGCCTCACCTCAGCTCTGGGGCAGGTGTGGGTGCCACAATATCAGAAGGATCTGAAGCTGTTGGAGTGTCCAGAGGAGGGACCTGGGCATGGGGAAGGGTCTGAGGAGCAGCTGAGGGCACTTGGATTGTTCAGCTGGAGGAGGAGACTGAGGGCAGAGCTCAGGGGGG